AGAACAAGACATTTGTATATACACTCTGTGTGGACACATGCATGTGCACTGCATGTTTGGTCTGAGGGCATGACGTGTGTGAATGGACAGGTAAGCATTGTTCGCGACAAGGGGTAAAGAGACATTTCAGTGTTGGGAGCTGCCTAGCTGAGCTGTGGATGCTGACCTTGGTTTAGCCAGTCCAACTGTATCAAATGCTTCCAAATAAAGGTGAGTCAGGAAGATGAAACTGGTTAGAAAAGCAGCACAAGAAGTGCTTAATGGTTTTTGCAGGTATCCTCCTAAAACCTTGCTTCATCCCAGAAGAAAACCATTGGCTGGGAGCTTCCAGTTAATATGACTTGTTCTGAAGTGCTTCATTTAAAGACCCAAAGTGAAGCCCATCTTTCAGGGATAGGATAGGCCATTCTGAAGAAGAGCTACTTGAGAAAAGGAAAGGTTTCTGGTAAGGAAGGTGCTTTGCCGAACACTTTTCAGAACAGTCATTTGCAAAAAAATCTTCAGGGTTGTGACACAAATGGGCTATGCCAGGTCTGTGGCTGAACTGGAGGTCTGTGGGCAAGAGTCTGAAGGTAGCAATGAGAGAGCGTAATGACAGCCCTGCTGTGGCAGCTGCTGTTTGTTTATGGAGGGAGGAAGCAGGCGTCATCTTTTAGGGCTCATTATATGAGGGCCCCACTTTGCCATGAAAACCAGCAGCAACATTTTCCTTCAGCTTTTTAAAAATAAGACTATGTAGTTCATAAAGTACCTCCTGAATTAATAGCTGTTTTTTGGTTACTGACAGTACTGTTATCGCAATAATCCTTTCAACTCTCCTTTATGTTTTCTGTTTTTTACAGATAGAGGGCTGCCCTTGAATGGGGTTGGATTTCGAGATTAGAGATATGCAGATAACTGCAGATACGGTTTGACAGCCTTTTCAGATGCTCATTATGTCAAGAGCCCTGTTTGGTGTGTGGGATTCAACTCTCAGAAATATGAAAAGTATTCATTACTGAGGCTGCTGGGTAGGGTTTTAGCTCTGATACTCTGTCTGATCATTGCCTAGCTGAAACACAGATGGAGGTAGATGAAGGTAGATAGAGGTCTTCATTTGGGGCCTCCCTAATCTTAACTTGGAAGAAATCTTCAAGGAAGTTGACCATGCTGCTTATTCAGCAAGCAAATAGTGTTTTCTCATGTTGTTCCAGAGGATCAAGAAGCCTCCTATACAGCATCTTTAAGACAGCACAGACTTTGGTACTACAGCTGTTGTGTAACGAACTTCAGCTTGCATTGTAACCCATTCCAATGCAGTCTAGGAAAAATATTTAGGTTTTCTTTAGTGTGTGTGTGCGTGTTTAATGACTGATTTCAAGAACTTTAGAAGGCAAAATTTGTTTAAAAATGACCAAATTCTGTAAAGTGACAGGAAAAACAAACAAACAAAACAACAACAACAAAAACCTATGCTAAAATTTAAGCTTTTCTGCTAAATCTTTGAAATCCTTTAAGTAATAAGCATGTATTTTACAGGAAGTCCAATAGCGTAGGCAATTTCAATTCAGTTTAACTGGAAGTAGTAGAATGCAGATCCATTAAATTTTTAATTGGGTAAATTCTAGTTAAATTATACCTGCTTTTTTGTTATTATGAGAAAAAAAAATCCAATGATAAGGTAAGCCTTTAAAAGATGCTGAATAAATATGTGATTATTTTGGATTCAGATTTAAGCTATAAAAAAAATGAAGGAACTAAAAGCTTTTGTATATTTTGAGTTCATATTAGAAAAAAAAAACAAACACATCAGATGTATTGCCTTTTGTCTTGGTCATACTCAGAAATGGCTCAGGAAATCTAATGCAGAGGAAAAGATTGGATCCTAAACTACTGAAGGATTTACAGTTGACAGCTACAGGATGAAAATGCTCTCCTTGGCTTTACCATTTGCAAAGATGGGTGAGGAAAACTCAGAATGACTCAGAGTCTGCCGTATGTGGGCTGCCTGCTCTAAGAAACCGTCATTTCATTGGCATTGTTACGTATATTTCATCAGTGCTAGAAGCAAAATGGGCATGACTTGGACCCAGTTAGTTCTGTTGCACATTATTGAGACAGACACCAAATACCTTTTTATTCTTCCTTATCTTTGCTGAGCAGAGCCATTTTTGAGTGTATTTGATTGTAAAAGCCACAATCTTTCAGTCATACTATCTCTAGATTGAAAACTGTTAGTAATACCTAAATTGAGTGGTATTTTGAGATGCACAAAGGCATTTAATTACAACTAATTTTCACAAGGTTCTTGATCCCAGCGTAGGGAACATTAGGAGAACATAAGAGAGGGTAAAATAAAAGCCATTTTGAAGTGTGCTGAAGTCAAAGGCAAATTGAGTATCATTTAGCCCTCTCAGCTCTGACTCACATTCAAGTTTTCAGGGGCTACCTCACGCAGTCCTGGTGTACATGCTCCTTCAAGCGTCCTTTGTTTTAGTAGAGACCTGCGGAAGACCTCAATTTCAGAGAGAGGCTGAGACTCTCTGGAGTCATGCATTCATACTGCACAAAGTAAGCTTGACCCTAATAATGGTTTCCATTGCTCATGTGAATCTGGGTTGATCATGCTCATTCTGTAAGCTAGACCAGCATCATAGTGACTCTTGAGCCTGGGACTCCTTCAAGTGAGTAAGCGTGTTAGGCCAAGGTGTGGGCTCCTATGGTTGCAAGCAAATTGTCTTAAGTATTATTGGTTATAATTATTATAATCATAACCAGTAATAAGCTTGTTAATATGACAGTACCTCTGTAAACAGTGGTTGCATGTACGCTGCTATCTGCTCTGACTGAACTTGTGCAGAGAAGAGAACACCAGGAGGGTTTCAGTGTGCTGAATTTATGCTTTCTGCTCAAGCTGCGAGTGCACACTGTCTCTTCTTGAAGCATATATTTGTATATTCACACTTGGGGGGGATTTCAGCATTCAAAACAAGCTGAATGTAGAAAACGTAGATTGGAGCCAGGTATTACGTGGGTGAGAAGTGAGTAAGGGCTTCCCACGCATCTCTGCAAATACCCCTCGGCTCCAACACTGTCAGTTCCTGTTTTCACTACGAGCCCCTTCTCTGCTGCACTAATACACCGCAGCTGGAGTGTAGGCACAAAGGCAGTGTGCCGCAGTGTAACGCAAATGGAAGTCATTGCCTTCGTTTTAAAGCTGCATTGGTAAATATTTTAATTTCGTTTTGTACTTAGACAGGCATTGGATCCTGCAGTAGGAGCAGGACACAGAGTAGATCTCTGAACCATGCATAAGTGGTTCTGAGAATATATTGAAACATAGGCTGCCCAGGGAAGTGGTGGAGTCACCATCCCTGGAGGTCTTTAAAAGACGTTTATATGTAGAGCTTAGGGATATGGTTTAGTGGGGACTGTTAGCGTTAGGTCAGAGGTTGGACTCGATGATCTTGAGGTCTCTTCCAACCTAGAAAATCTGTGATTCTGTGATTTTTCTAGTTGTTCTGCTGAGGTGGTTTCTCCTTTTTTTCTAATCATTGCCCTCTTCAAGTCTAAAAATTGAAAATACATTCACTATTGAAAGAACTGTGAAGGATAGATGTAGAAGGGACATTTCCCCATAAGGATTCATCTCTGCATGGTGTTTATGAGCATGACCTGCTAGTACACTTGGGCTGCAGCCGTATCTCCACACATCTCACTAAGCAGCACAGCTGCTGACTGCGTCAAGCACTGACATTTACAGAGCGTGTGTCATCCAGCTATTGCTTCACATCCCTACAGACAGTCTTGATCATCAGCTAATTAAAGTGTATGCCCTGTTCTGTGAAGCTTCTGTTTTGTGAGCACAGCCTCCCTCCGTTGGTGACATGTTTATTATGCTTCTGAATTTCACTTTGCAGCATGACTGTGACTTTGTTTGTCTCCAACTAAACCGAGTAGCAGAGCCATGGAAAGCTACCCTGTAGCAAGGCTGGCTCACTTCGTGGTGTGCACCCTGGCACTATAGGGCCCACTTAAAGTCAGACAGCCCACAGTTTTACTCTTGGACCAGGATTGCAATCTGCCTCGGGAAGTAATCAACCTGTTCCTCTGCTTCCCTCTTCCAGCACAAGTAACCTCAGTGAATCTTTGGATTTGCTTGTCAGGGCACACGTGCTGATAACAAATGTCATGCAAAATCTCAGAACTGCTTCCTTTGGAGCTTAGAAAAATAGAGAAATATGGCAATACAGCTGTGTTGACAGAACAGCCTTCTGAAGACAGTTTAGCAAAGGCCCAGCCAGCCAATTTCTTATTAGCTAGCTGTTCTGCTAGCACTTTGGCAAGGAAAAGTGTAATCACTTGTAATCCAAGAAAGCAGCTACAGTAGGCAGCGTGCTTAACACTTCTGATGCTAGCTGCATTTGAAAGAATATAAAATATTCCTAGACTAGAAATGTGGTGGTGTGGTAATTTGCTGATGAGTACAACTATGTACGGAAATAAAATACGTAGTTAGTAGAATGAATCTGTGGGAGATGGTGGGAGAGAGAAGGAAAAGATAAGTGAAGAAAGGAAGATCCCTTTTCAGTCAAATTCACTGGAAGACTCAGAGAAACAGAGCCACACAAAATAATATCAACAATTCCATTTGCAAATGCCTGTCTTGAGAGTCTTACCCGCAGCTGTGAAATCTCATGGTGTAAGAGTGTGAGAGGTGGGGTGGGCACAGCCCAGGCCAAGGAGAAATGGTTCAGGAGCAGTCTAAGCAAGAGTGTGAAGAGAAGGAGGGCAGGTGCAAGAGGCAGGATTGTTCTGGCAGATGAACATTAGGAACTGGTATTATAACCCAAGGGCTCTTCAGTGTTTTCAAAGGAATGTGGCCAGGTTCTCCGTTGCTGTTTTAGTAGTTTGTATTGCAAGATGAGTGTGAAGTATTACCTGGTAACATCTTATGTTTTGAGTGGGGGGAAAAAAAAACAACCAACAACAACAAGAAATGAGCATGAGCTAGAGTTCACTGCAATCTGTAGAGAAGACCTTTTTATTTTTAGAACCAGCCAATGCATTACACATCATTCAGCACAGGCAGAGGCTCTGAAACCACTAGCCAGAATGGCCAATGGGAAAATGAACTTGGAGGCTGCAGGAGCAGGTACCTCTAGCAAAGGAAGGACATAAAGTACTGGGTCTTTCCATGAGACAGCCTCTTCGCCTCTTTTCTGTAGAAATACAGAAATGCTGTTAATGTTGATGGACAAAGTCATTTCTGGGCTCACAGGAGCATTGCTGAGATCATTGACTTATTAAGCAGGAGCTGCTGTGTGGCTCATGACAGGTTTACTGAGTCCAACCAGCTGTTAGCCAGAGGTGTGACAGAACATGGACAGTGGTGTTTGGTACTTTATTCAAATATGGTGTTAAGAATTGAATTTTTATTTATTTATTTAAAGTTAGAGCTGTTGACCATTCTGGCTAGTGAGCTACTGCTCCCGTTGACAGAGCCTTCTAAACATTGCCAATGAATAAAACTTAGTGTTGAGAAGTTAATTTTAAATTAAGAAGAATATATTACTAAAGCACACTAAAATATAGGAGAGAACAATGCTTCAGGGACAACAACAGAAACAAAGGCCACCATTGCTATTGCATCCCCATGCAGTTGATTTCATATAGTTCAGAGAAACCTCCCACCAATAATTCGATGCCTTTTAATGGGGACAGAGAAAAGCTGCTCTAGGATTAAGAAATTTGGCATTTGGGGTGAAGCCAAGACAACCTGTTCTGCAGTGTTGCATACCCAAATCCAGACAGAGCTTGTGTGAACAGTTCCACCAAGGTGCAGACCGTAGTGCTGAAGCTGCCTTGGAAGCATTTTTTTCCAAAACTTTTAAGACTGCCTTACTTATTCACCCATCGGTGTTTTAGTGTTAACAATAGGGTTGAACTGACACAGTTCTTTTGGAAACACAGCCCGGTGAAAACGGGTCACCGCAGAACTGTTCCTAACAATGACCCTGGAAGTGGCACCTACTGGTTCTCAGCATCTCTTTTCTAATAACTTCTCCTCTCCCTATCAAAATGGCCACAAACATCCATAGTCTTTTTCTAAGAGCCTGAGATTTTCTATGTTAGTGAGTGTCTGGCTTCCTCTAACCAGGGCTTTTCTGCCCACTGTTCTTCTGAATCCCAAAGGAAAATGATGTGAAAGTATTGGTGACAATTTAGTGTGGAAAAAGTATTTTGAAGAAGTCTGACACCACGGCGGAGCAGCCAGTTATTCTCATCATGCACATTTTTTTTTCCTACTGAGCAACATTTGTGTTCAAGGCAGGATTTGTTTGTTTACAGTAAATACCTGTCACATAGCAACAGAAACATTACTAAATAATATATATAATGTTAAGCTCCCAGGTCTAGAAGCTTTTAATGAACAAAACCCACGCATTCCTGATAAAAAATAATAATAAATAATGTCACCTTTTCTTTTTACATTAAAAATGTCTGTACAGGACTGCACAATATAACAAAGTACAATATTATCTTCTAGGCTCAGGGTGGCATCTCTGGGTTAGATCTTCAGCTAAATAAGATAGAGGCATGTAGTCTTGATCCTGCATATTTCCCACTGCATAAAATTCATTTTTCCAAAGTTGTGAAGTCTACAGCCTTGCCTAGTATTTATATGCAAAACTGGAAGTAGCTCACAAGGAACATAGCAACATTTTCATGCAGGAAGCAGCTTTGGGACTGAGATTTTAGCAAACAGATGTGCATATGGTGATATTTTAAAGTTTTGAAACTTCTTGCCTCATCTGGAAGAGAACAGAAACAAACAGAAAAATAAAGATGGAAAACATGAGTAGGAGTCTGTCTTCCTGACACAGCTAGAAAAGTTTCTTGGATGGTGTATTTTTCAGGATGGCACTTAGTGATCTATCACAGACTGTCTCTGTCTCTTGATCAACCTTTCTTCTTGATAAGAATGCCCACAGTTTGCTCAGGTGAGGGCAGCGCTGGCAGCTTGTTGGGGCTGGGGGGGTCACTTCCAAACCATGGGCCTCTGAATAGCAGAGGGTGGCCTCTGCCTTCCAGCAAATAGGACCTGCTGTTAGCTGTGAAATGTCTCTGTAGGTCCCACTGCAGCTTGTCAGGCACTATGTACACCCTGTGAATCTCCCATCAGGTAGCATGACCAGGAAGCACAGTTAAAGCATTTACAAAGAAAGCTCTGCAGGGCAGGGTGAATCAGCAGCTCCCTTTCACCAGTAACGATAATCGAAAGGGAAATACTTCCTCCTGTTTGGGCGAAGAAAATGAAGTGCTGTTTTTTATCCAGACAGCATCCGGTCGCAGGCAGGCAGACAAAGCAAGTGATGTCTCACATAAGGTTGGGGCTTCAGGCCAGAGCTCTTTCAGATCTTGCTGTCTGAGGACAGAGAGGTGGCTCATAGAGACCGCCCCTGGAAAGGAGTACCAGGAGTCCCTGTACCGGGTGGTTGGTATTGGTGGTGTTTCTTCACACCAACAGAAATATTCTCCCACCTGGAGTAAGGCCATGCCACAGTCATGTAGTCCCACCAGCCTTGTGGATGCAGAGATCCCTTCTGCTCAGTTGCCTTCCCTTGTCCCCATGGATCTGTGTGCTTGTGGCTGGGAGTTTGTACAATGGCAGTGCAGGAGGCATGGTGACATTGCAGATGAATAGGGTTTCATAAAGTCCTGCTGCCTGGGAATCCCTTGGGTACTCTAAAAAGAAGCTGTTCCTCCAGCTGAGCCATTCCTCTTCTAGGTCTGTGACTAGAAACAGGACTCTTGGGATTCTGGGTCATTGTGGATGGGAAGCTTCTCCTGTTCCTGATGATGTCCGTTATGTAAGACAGTGTACCTGGGAATGGAAAAACATAAAGATTTCTCAGTGCTAGTTAGAAGGACAGGCTTACATAAAATGAGTTCTTGAAAACCTAGAATCATGTCTTACAATATCTTCCAAATATCCAGATACCACATTAAGCAAATGTGAAGGCCCACTTTGCCCCATGACAGGAAAAATAATCTTCATGATTCAGACAAGAACCTCTTGGTTTCCATGTTTCTAAGGCGTAGCTGGTAATGGGAAGAAACCAGACCAAAGAACTAAGGAAAAAAAAAAAAAAAAAAAAAAAAAAAAAAGGTCCAGCACTCCTTATTGTATACATATTCAAAAATGAATACTATGATATCAAGTTACTTGGCATTATTAAACTGCACGAATCTCTATTGAGTATACTTGGGAGTTAGGCTCCTAAAGCAAGGTGCTTAAAATGCTGGTGAGATGCCTGAAGTAAATGGTCTGGATATCCTACAAGTGATGTATCTGCTCATTACAGTAGACAGCCATGGACTCAAAATGAAAGTCGGGATATAAAATCCACTGCCTCTCCAAATTTGTCCTGGTGAATATTCGCAGGGGAATTTGCCCTCTAATATTTTCAACACTGTCAGGTTTAGCTGACTTAATACAGGTCACTGTATATGCAGATATATCCATTGAAACATCTTTACATAGCACTTCATCACTTTACATAATGATCCTAAAGCTTTCCAAAAATGTGCTGGTTCTCCAAAACAGGGTACAGAATCAATGTAAGAAACAGGAAAAGACATTTTGCATCTAACACTGAATAGAAACTCTGACCATGAAGCATACAAGTCTTAACAGGATTTTGTTCCATCTACCAAGTCAGACATAGCACACTGGGCAAGGCAGGCCACCAGACCTTGAGGCTGGCAAAATCCCTGCTGTAAGCGGTGGTGACGGAGATGATGAGAGCCAGGAGACCCCTCGCTCTGTGAACAGGGCAGACATGTTTTGGAGCAACTCACAGCTTGCTCAGAAGCATGACAGACAGGCACTGAAAGCTGACTTCATACAGGATATCCAAAGAGCCAAACCTTTCTTCTTCTTCTGCAGGAGTCAGAAAACAGTTGTGCAAGTTCAGCAATTTAGCAGGCGGTGCCGTTTGTTACAAAGATGCATTAAGCTAAAGAGAAGTCATTAGGGTGTCCCAGCGTCTCTCGTGGCACAGTTTGCCTGAAGACTCTGCAGTTAGATCAACACCTCCAGCTGTTTACCCTGTGGGGAAAGAGGATGGGTAGGAGAGGAGGAAACAGCATTTTTATGCAGGGTGCGAAAGCTACGCTGCAGCTGTGATAGCCTTGCTCTGCATGATTTCCTACCAAAATCTTACCAGCATCTCCAGGAAACCGTAAAAGGAATCTTCTACTGGTGGGTTTGTATTGGACCAGGTTTGTTCAGACATATGGTGATTTCTCCTTTCATCTAAAAGGTTAAAGCAACCTACCACATACCATGGGTTTAGTGTCTGATCCAGGACAGGTTTAGAGCAGCCCTGCTTTTTTTCACACCACTGTGTCTTACTTAATCCACTCTGAAAACACAATCAATTTTTCAGGCATCGATATCAATGGAAAGCAAGTTTTGAAGAGAAAGAACAGCAGCAGCTGAAACTCACTTGTGCCTGACCTCCACAAGCTCCCAACGTGTGCCTTGCCCAGCTGAGAGCCTCACACCACAGGATTTATATCACTGACCACAAAGAGATAACAACACTCAACCCCTGCATGCGTGGGCTCAATGTTTCAAGAGAAATTTGTCAACTAGGTTTGAGTAAGAGCAAGGAATACATCTGAGGAAGCCATAATCTGCAAGCAGGAGAAAAAAAATATAATAAAAGGTTTAAATGCATTAAATAAATTATCTGCAGTAAATTAGTTGATCAGCCTCCTGCCTATAATGAGTTCCTTTACAGGATGTGTACACACTGGCATGTTCAGCTTCCAGGCTTAGGTACAAGCAGCATCTCACACTGCCTACACCCTCTGCCTTCCCCCGAGGTGAGGCACAATGTCACTACTGTCACCTGCAGCTCCACTCAGATCCTAAACACCACCCAGCAGTGGAGCCCAAGAATGAAAAGGTGTTACAGCCCATAAAAGGGGCCCTGCTGCAGGCTAGTCACACACTTGGCAAATGGTACTTTAATTGTGATGATGATCAATTTGGAGAGAATTGCATTTGCATCTCCTGCTGTTTCTGACAATCCAGTGGGCTCTTTAGCTAACTGGTTGGATTAACTTGCAGTATAGCAGAGGGAAGCCATGAGGTTTTACTTTCTGTAGGCCCGTGACCAGAACAAGAAGCCCGAGTGTTATTCAGGGAACCCAGTAAAAGCTGGGGAGAAAATACCAACGGGATGCAGCAGTGCTTTGTAACCTTCCCACTTGTGTTGCTTGCAGGTCTGTCCCCTGCACCAACTTGTACCATTAATTAAAGAAGCCAAACAAATGCTGGGTTTTGGCTTTCCCAGCTGTAATGCAAGAGTCACCACCTCTACCGAGTCCTGCTCTGCCACCCAGCATCACGCCTGTCTCAGAGGTAATGCAATGTGGGGCAGGGCTCCTGCCTCAGGCCAGAAATTGCATCCATGCCCTTGGGTGCAGGATGAGCCAGGAGAGGGGAAAGCAGCACCCCGAGGTGTGTGTACCATCCTGCTGTCAGAGTGCACAGCCTCGTTCTGCCTGGGGTCGGTTCCTGGGGTTCTTTGGACAGTGGGGAACAGCCAGGAATAGGAAGGCATCTGCTCTCTGCCAGGAATGCCTCCTACCTACCCTTCATGCATGCAACACTGGTGTGAAGCTGCCTACACAGGTTACCCATGGCTCTTCTGTGCCAGCAGAAGCCCCTGTGCAGTTCTTCAGCCCTTTGAGCCCCAGGACATCTCTCTGTGAGCTGTGCCTGACCCCTGCATTTCACCATCATCCTTGCTCTGAGCACCCACCTCCATTCTTCCTTGGGCTCCCTGTGCCTATGGCCTGTAGGTCGTTCATCCTGCTGGGTGCTGCAAAGATCATGGGGCCTGGACATGTACCAGAACTGCAAGGGCTGGAGCACATCAGTAGATGCTGCTCATTAATAACAAATAAACTGATAATGAGGGAGAAAAGACAGCCCTTCCTAGCTGGAGCTCTCTCATTGATGGGCTAAAGGACTTGTGTGGCAGAATCTCCTGCACTTTCCAAAGCCTGTGAACAAATTAGCTTAGCTTTTTGCCTCTCTCCCTTTAACCTTGGCCAGGAGAAATAATTTTACCTAGTGAGCCATAATAACAGTGGAGAAAAAAATATTGACAAAAATAAATGCCCACAACTGTCCAAGCATGGCAAAGCTCTCAGCTGGGCTGGAGGCAGATTAATGGAGGGAGCCCACACAAACCTGCTGTAGGTTCACAGCTGTCTCTGCTCTCTGTTCAGCAGTCCTTTCCCAGCACATCTCTTTACATGATTAATTGCTTCCACTTCTGAGCTGGCAGAAGGTGGTTGCTGTTGTCCTGATGTTTACTGGGGACTCAGGTAAGGTTTTGCAGCAGGACCAGGGGTGGCAGTGGGTTCTGGGAGCTGGTGACTGCCTGCTCCCCATGCCCTTTGCCCTGCAGGACGAAGGACGTGTCCTCACCAGGCAGAGGGGACACAGGGAGGGGAACACTGGTACAGAAGCAGGCATATGGGTTGTACTCCTAAACTGGTGTCAGCACTGCCGGGATAGCTCAGGACTCAGATGGCGACACAATGGCCATGAAGTATGGGCACGAACTCTACCAAGAGCTGATGAGCACTGTATCTGCAGCATCTTTTCCCATTCTCCAAAAGTTTTCTTAGCATATTCTTCCTGTTTCTGATCTGGATCAAGTCTACAACTTCTTATAAGGTGAGGGGAAAAAAAGAAGAAAAAAGAAAAAGAAAGAAAGAGCAGACTCTATATCATATCCAAGGCCTTTCTCTGCCTTTTACCAGGGTGACTGATTTAACTACTGTATTCCTGGCAATTCAGTATGAGGGAGCACCTATCTGCCTGTCTCTGTCTTTCATTTTTTCCTTTTGTAAGTTGTTGATTGCCAACACTCCAAATGAAATATTTTGAAATATTTTTTTCCCCTGCATTTACAACTGGAAACTCCCTGAGGATTCCAGGAAACTTTTTGGTAACAGGATTTGGTTGCAGGGGTCCCAGGGCAAAGTCTACGAGAGTGGTGCTGTCCACAGGAGGCACCACAGCTGCGGCAGGTCCTCTGCTTTTGCACTGCCCTGGGTGCCCACCATTCCTGATGAGCAACCCGAGATGTTGATTGCCACCAGGTGGCATCTCAAAAGAGGAGCTGCTTCTCTAACACCTTCCCAGACAGCTCCCATGAAAAGATGTTTACTGAGCAAGCCGGAAAACACTAATATTTCATGTTCACTCTCAGTGAACACAACTTTCCCACTACTTTCCCATTCCTTCTGGCTTTAGTTCTGCTCTGTGATAAACTGTGAAGACTATCTTGCCTGAGCAGATATTTCCATTTTTAATAATGAAAGCTGCCATCATTGAACCTTATGTTCATGGGACTTAACATTCACCTAGGACCATAGAGAGTCTGGGCATAGATGGAAGCTGCCTGTAGCCAAATTTTAGTGGAATTGAGCTTCCAAACTGAATAAAGAATTGAAACTTTTCTTAGATACAAAATCCCTCTTGGTCTATGGTTTCTCTTTCCATCCCCTTTTCTTTCTGTCACAGCTGCAAAACTCTTCAATACTTCCCCATCTGGAATATCTACAGCACCATTGTTGTAGCTTTATGCTCAATATAGGGCCCATATCTCAAAGCTCCATTTCTTTCAGATGGACTTATAGAGAAAGAATAAATAACTCTCTTCAATATCAAATGGGGATTACAGTTAACCATCGCTTGGCAGACCAGAGCAGGTTATTTTAATGAACACATCGTTCTGAAATAAGCCTCCCACCATCTGTTCGGCCCCATGATTATAAATGCAAACAACATAATTCATAAATGCTCTATAAAAGAAAGGGAAAGAGAGAACAGCTTAAGATGACTGTTAGTTTTTCCAGACAACGATGTATCTGCCTACTTTATTCCCATTTCAGGAACAGGTAGAAAACAGTCTTTTAATTCTGTATTTTCTGGCAGTCACCAACCAAAGTAAATCATTGCCTGTAGAGGACAGAAATGTGGGTAGGGGCGGTGCAGTTTCTGTTTGCCTCTGACAGAAGGACCCAGGAAAGGTGGTGTGGACCATCCTGAATCTCAGTGGGTGCGGAAGAAACACAGAGCATGCGTTTTAGTACAGCAGCACTGAATATGCCTGTGGCACCGGAGTGCCCTCCAGGAATACGGGAGCTGAGGGTACTAATGATAGTGGTATTTGCTCCCTGAGAAGATGCTTTTGACATTCTGGAAAACTGGGCAATCTTGAGAAACATTCAGAAAGCTGAGAAAAATGAACATAAAATCCAAGAATCTCTGGAATTTGCTATTTTAAACTGTGAAGATTTTCTTTGAAAGAGGCAAAAGTATATATTTTTAAACCCCTAATACACAAAATATGTCAAAATGAAATGTGAACAAAATATATTGTTTCACTTCAATTTTCTGTTGAAAAAATAATAATAATCTATGTGATCCAAATAAAATGTATTGTCATTAAACATTTGATTTTAATACAGCTCCGTATTTAATTTTTAAAAGGTCAGTGGAGAATTGCCCCTCTCACACAATTACCAGCTTCGTAGAGGCCATGCCATGAAAAGCTTGCCAGTACTCTAATCTCAGGGCTGAGTGACTCACGGTTCCAGCCACCAAATTGGACTTCCACATTCAGCCATCAGTAGAAAACCATCACCGCAGGATAAGAGCAACTCTCCCACACCCACTCTCTACATTTCTTGTGGTGAACAGGAGCAAAAAACGACAAGCTCATCCTGGTTTTTTGTTGACATGTATCAATATTGCTGAACAACTTAAATTGATTTCATATTCAGTGCTGTAAAACTAGCAATACCACTAACGCTTCCAGGGTGAATAGCTCCATTGTTTCTCTGTGAGCTTTTCATTTCTTCCTGTTTCTAAGACAAGCAAGGTACTTGTAAGATTTCTTAACAGTTTTCCTAACAAGCTTTAAGCTGGTTGTGTATCACCTCCCTGCGGTGATGGCCTGCAGCCCATTAGTGAAAGTGAGCTTGCTGAAGGTGGGTCGTGCCCTGCACCTGCCT